GAGAGGAAGAGGGATAGAGAGAAACATTGATTTATTGTTCCACTTATGCATTCATTGCTTGATTCTTTTTTTATGTTTTATTTTTTCTTTTTTAATTATATTTTATTGATTATGCTATTACAGTTGTCCCAATTTTACCTTTTGTCCCCCTCACCCCTCCACGCTTCTCCCTCAGGCAGTCCCCACACCATTGCTCATGTCCATGGGTCATGCATGTAAGTTCTTTGGCTTCTCCATTTCCTGAACTGTATTTTACATCCCCATGGCTATTCTGTAAATATCTATTTGTACTTCTTAATCCCCTTACCACTTCACCCATTCCCCCACACCTTCCTCTCATCTGGCAAACATCAAAACACTCTGAACACTCAGGATCATACCCATGATTCTGTCTCTGTTCTGGTTTGCTTAGTTTGTTTTTTAGATTGAACTGTTGAGATGTGTATTTGTTGCCATTTTATAGTTCATAGTTTCGATCTTCTTTTCCTTAAATAAGTCCCTTTAACATTTCATACAATAATGGTTTGGTGATAATGACCTCCTTTAGTTTTATCTTGTCTAGGAAGCTCTTTATCTGCCCTTCGATTCTAAGTGTTAGCTTTGTTGGGTAGAGCAATCTTGGCTGTAGGTCCTGCTGAATATTCATGACTTTGAATATTTCTTGCCAATCCCTTCTAGCCTGCAAAGTTTCTTTTGAGAAACCAGCTGACAGTCTTATGAGAACTCCCCTGTAGGTAACTAACTGCTTTTCTCTTGCTGTTTTTTAAGATTCTCTCTTTATCTTTAACCTTTGTCATTTTAATTATGATATGTCTTAGTGTGGACCTCTTTGTATCCCTCTTGTTTGGGATGCTCTGCTTCCTGGACTTGCCTATCTGTTTCCTTCACCAAATTATGGAAATTTTCTTTCATTATTTTTTCACATAGATTTCCAACTTTTTGCTCTTTATCTTCTCCTTCTAGTATCCCTGTGATGCAAATGTTGGAATGCTTGAAATTGTCCCAGAGGCTGCTTACACTGTCCTCATTTATTTCTATTCTTTTTTCCTTACTGTTGTTCTGATTGGTTGTTTTTTGCTTCCTTATATTCCTAATCATTGATTTGATTCTTGGCTTCATCCACCCTACTGTTGGTTCCTTGTAAATTGTTCTTTATTTCAATTAGCGTATCCTTCATTTCTGCCTGGATCTTTTTTATGCTGTTGATATCCTCACTAAGTTCCTTGAACATCCTTATAACCAGTGTTTTGAGCTCTGCATCTGATAGATTGCTTATCTCCATTTCATTTAGCTCTTTTTCTGGAGCTTTGATGTGTTCTTTCATTTGGGCCATGTTTCTATGTCTCTTTGTTTTGACAGCCTCCCTGTGTTTGTTTCTCTGAATGAGGTACAGCTGCTTTGAATACGTGTCTTGGTAGTGTGGCCAAATGTAGCAGGTGTCCTGTAGATTCCAGTGGCAAACCTCCCCTATGCACCCAAGCTGCACCGTTCATGTGGGCTGAGTACACCTTCTCCTTGTGGTTGAGCCTTGATTGCTGTTGGTAGGTAAATGGGAGGGATTTCACCAGGCCAGTCAGCTGCAAGGACTGGCTATAAACTGACCACCAACTTCCACCCTCCATTGAGGTTCAGCTGTGCAGGAGTAGGGCGGTAGTGCTCCAACATGGTCTATAGCTGTACACTGGGTGTGCAGGCTCTGAGGTTTCTGGGGTGGTGCCAGCAAAGATCAGCCCCCACCTGTGATCTGCCCTGGGCCACATTGCATGAGCTATAACGTAATCCTGTGATCTGAGATAGCTGCTACTTGTGCTGGGTTTGGAGATTCCCAGGCAAAGCCAAGTTGTGAATCTAGGCTGGCTGCTGCTATACCTAGCTACATGGCGGCCACGTAGCAAGAGGTGCAGGAGCTGGGACTCACTGTGGCTTACAGTTGCTTGTTTGATAGGATTTAGGAAGTTGTAAAGCATGAGTCAAGCCCAGCCATTCATATGGAAAAGTCATGGTTAACAGCTGGAATGGGCTGGAGTCTCGGGGGATCTCCAGGGCAGGGCAAACAGTGTTAGCCATATTGATGGAGTCTCAGATACGGCATCTGCCTGCTAGCTCTGTGGCTCTCTGGGGGCAGGGCTCAGAAAAGGGACAATGGCCTCTGCCCGCATTTCTGTCTGGGAGAAAGCTTAACCCCAGCTCCCATCTTGATGCCAGTTACATCTTTTCCTCCTTGTATGCCACTGGTGCCTTTCAAGCTGCTACCCTGATGCTGGAGCTCAGAGGGAGTAAGTCTGTGTGAGTCCACGTGTGGGTTGTTTAAGAGGAATTGCTTTGGACTCTAGCTGTTTCTTCTGCTGACTCAATTCCCACTGTTTTTTCAGCCAGAAGTTATGGGGATTTATTTTCCTGGCACTGGAACCCTGGTCTCGGGGGCCTGGTGTGGGGCTGGTACTACTCACTCCTGATATATCCCTCCCAAATTTTTATCCCACACATGTATGGGATATATAACCATTAGAATATAACCACTCTGAGCCTCCACCCCTCCTTCTAGTCTGGATGGGTGTGGTTTCTTTAATTCCATAATTGTCAGATTCCCATTCCACTTGATTTCTGACGGTTCTGAGTAATGGTTGTTCTATATTTTAATTGTAACTTTGATGTGGTTCTGTGAGGAAGCAAGCCGTGTTTACCTATTATGCCATCTTGACTGAAAATCTCCAGGATCCATTAGTTCATTCTTGTATGTGCCCTGACCAGGGATTGGACCTGCAGCCTTGGCATATGGGGATGACACTCTAATCAACTGCACTACCTGCCAGGGCCTGGGGCTTTTTTAAATTGGGAGTGGAGGAAGTAGGTGGGTTTACAGATGAAACAACAGTGGCCATGAGGGGATGTTTTTGGAAGTTGGTTGATGTGTATGTGGGGATATACTATACTCTTGTCTGTTCTATATGTTTGACGTTTTTTGTAAGAAAAAAAGTTTTTAAAAGGTTGAAACGTTCCCCCACCCCTTTCCCCCACAAAAAAGATATATAGTGCCAAAAGGATAGGTTTGGCAACCAGAAGGATGATTCTCTTAGCTTTGTCTTCGTGGTGACTGGGGAGGCTCCCAAGACTGTCAAGGCTTTCACAGCTACTCTAGCTTAAACCAGCGTCCTGGGAAAGAACAAAGCACACTTCCCTCTGAGACAGTCTACCCCACCCCATCCCTTCAGTCTGGATTAAATATCATTTTTTGTGCTCTCCTAGTAACATTTACATACCTCCATAGTGTATTTTAATTGTATGGCCTGTTTGGTTCTCCCAATTTCCAGATTATACAGTGCCCAGCAGAAGTAACGCCTGCCTGAGTATGGTTGGTAGGGTAATAATATGGGGGTAATAATTTATAGTTTTAATTTGAACATTTCACCTAAAATTTCATATGGTACACTTGAGTGTGAAATTGTTATTAAATTGCATGCTTATGATTTTGTAATAAAAATGGGGTTTTAATTTGTGCCAGACCTTGTACATTCCTTGAGGATACTAACCCTGATTATTTATCTTTATTCATGTACATATTCTCCCTCACCCCTACCTTTAACATTGGGCCTAGTAAGCTTTCTTAGTCAATGGTTATTGAATGAGGAACAGGAGAGCAGTAGAGAAACAACTGGGATTATACTGGTAAATAAAATGCAAAATACACCCCCTGCTTTCTCTATCTCCTTAGTAAACTCTTTTCCCAGGACTAGTAAGGTAAAGCTACAGAGCTGCTTTAAACTGTTTTTTTCGGTCTTCTGTCCATCTTCTGGCAGAAGTACTAATGAGCTGTGAAATACTGCAAATGAAAGGTAAGCAAAGAGTAAGCAGTGTAGTAAAATCAGTTTCTGCACAATCAAACGTTGCTGATTTCTGTTCTTTCCCAGGGTTTATAATCAATGAATTGTTCTCAGATGGCTATCTTTCTTTCCTGCTTTGCTACTTTCTGTATATATCAGGATTCCCCTTCTATGTAAATTCCCTTTTAGTTTGTCTTCTTGGTATGCTTTAAAAAGGTAATTAGAATATAACTTCCTAGAAGAGAAAGAACTTATTATAAAATAACTATTTTGTGCCTTGGTTGGTGTGGCTCAGTAGACTGAGCACGGTGTGCAAACCAAAAGATCACCAGTTCAGTTCCCAGTCAAGGCGCATGCCTGGCTTGCGGGTCAGGCCCCCAGGAGGGGGCGTGAGAGAGGCAACCACACATTGATGTTTCTCTCCCTCTCTTTTTCCCTCCCTTCCCCTCTCTCTAAAAAATAAATAAATAAAATCTTTTTTAAAAAAAACTATTTTGTGCTATGCGGGAGGTTATCTGGCAATTTCCTGGTGGATAGCAATCTCCATAAAGCCGACTGTAAGAGGCCTACAGCTGGGTCAAAGAGGTGAAGGGAGTGACAAGCACAGATTGGTAGTTACAAAACAGTCACAGGGAAGAAAATACAGCATAGGGAATGTAGTCAATAATACTGTGATAACCATGTGTGGGGCCCTCTGGAATACTGGAAATATCGAGGGGAACCCTATGTAAAGTATATGATTGTCTAACCAATGCAAAATAAAAGTGAAAAAAGAGAGAGACCTACAAAACTTTAGAACTTGGAGAGACCCACGAGACTAACGGCCTTCCAGAATTGCACGCACGTACACAAAAACACATGCACATTAAAAAGAATAGCTTCTTGAATAATAGCTATGTTCTTGCTGTCTTAAAATATTGTATATCGTCTAGTCTCAATATCTGGGCTAGTTTCTAAACTAGTACTTTCCAAATTTAGATTCTTGAGAAAATAGGACATGCAAGTAACAACTGTTATCTAAAATGAAGAAAAAATGTGAAATTATCATTTCTTTTTGACCATTGTAGTGTTGATTTCTCACTTTTGAAAAAGAGCAGAATAAATCTTAAACATTAAAATGTAATTACTGGTCATTTTAACCTTATTAAAGTCTTACAGATATTTTATTTTTCTCTGTAGGTGGTACGGGACTATAATCTTCAGCTGTTTCTACAAGACAATGCTGTGTTTCACAAACCCCAGCCCTTCCAGTTCCAGCCTTGTGACAGCGATACTGTAAGGGAATTCCCGATTCCCATTTCATTAGTTTTTAAGCTCTGTTCATGCTCAAATAACTATTATTCTTGGAAAAGACAGAAAATGTTGAGTATGTTTCATTAATGTTACTAGAAACTGTGAGGATGCAAAGAAACTGTGGTATTTCTTCTTTGTAATTATGGCAAACACACCTACTACCTTTATGCTAACAACTTTCTACTAAATTGGATTAAATTATAAGACAAGTAACTGCTGAAAACTGAACTTAGGGAAGAAGAAAAAATATTCCATAAAAGTTTTTTACAATTCAAATAAAAATTATACTTTCTATCCATGAAATTCCTCACATAAATACCCTTTCAAAGAAACCCGTGGTTAAATTTTAACCAGAATAGAATTAATAAATAGAATAATGAATATGTGCATGCAAATATTCTATTGGCTTTATCCAAAATTATAGGCCCTTTATAATGTCTTTCACATTTCTTAGAATGTTAAAGTATTAACACAGATGCCACATTGGCCATTTTTAAAAAGCTAACATTAGTTACCTGTTTTTATTCTTGAGTTTATGAAAAAAATGCCATTTTTGAATTTAAGAAAAACAAAAAACTCATTTGGTAAGCTAAGAAAAATTAACTTCTACAGGGTGAGAAAGCACAGGTCTAGTGCATATCTCCTGCCAGTTACCTCTAGCACATGGTCTCAATGTAGGCAAGGCAAGGCAGGAGTCAGAATATATTGGCAAGTTCTGCTGGTAAACCTGGAATCAAAACCAGGGGGGTTTATGGTATCAGAGTTTGCTGGTATCTGTTTAATAGAAACCTCACTAGAGATAGCCTCATTACTTTTCTTGCCAAATTGTAAGTAGCCCTGTGAGTAGCTACATAAAGTAATGTAGAGAATAAAGCATCCTTCTCTACATTACAGCCCTGGCCATTTATAGTAGAGGTTTTTTGTTTGTTTGTTGATTGTTTTAAGCAATCAGATTCTGCTTAATAATTCAGTGACGTCGTTCTGTAATTTGACTTCTTTGAAACCTGGGAGGAATAAAGCAGAACATTAGAAGATACACAAGTTTGCCAAGCTTGACTTAAAATTGTGACTAATTTGAAATGATTTTATCTGTGCTCATATTCCTCAGAAAATTAGAATAACGGAGACGCTCATCTCACTTGTCCTAACTGCAATCTCAAATCCCTTTTTGTTTCTAGACACTGTGCTAAATGTTCTTAGCTGTGTCCCTATTTGCCTTAAAATTCTAACTATGCTGTTTTCTGTCCTTGTGCAATCTTTACTGGGCAGAGTTTAAAAGCTGCCCAACTGGTGGATATTGAGCTCCCCCCTGTCAGTGCTCTGAGAATGACCATAGCTGAGGTATATGGGGGTGTGGGTCAAGGGTGGGAGCGAAGGGGCGTGTTGGTTTGCATGTTAATGAGGGGTGGGATTTGCTATTGGGGTGAAATTTATATAAATGTATAAGGGACCACTGAACGCATAAGATGGGGCTTTCCTTCCCTGTTTCTAGTGAAAAGATTGAGCTTCTCATTTTTCGTCTTGTTTGAAGCACCTTAGTTTTCCTCAACAGGAGTGCTGAAAAGAACCTTAGAGTTCATTTTGCCTTTATTAAAGGGGAAACTTAAATTTAGTAAGGAAAAGAGACTTGTCCAGAGCCATACAGTGAATTCGTGACACTGTACTGTCCTGATGGCAGTTGTAGTGTTCTTTCTGCATGCGGCTCTGTTTTCTGAGAAGAAATGTTGAGCACTTGGGGAGCAATTAATTTTTTCATACGGGCAAAAGATAAATGCCCATTCTTCTATAAAAACCATTGTCAACCATTGAAAATGTCTTTAAAATAATCATTTTTAAATGCTTTTAACTGCAAAATATTTTGTGTGTAATTTTTTTTGTTGTTGTAAATTAAGTATTCTTACTGTCCACAAGGAATAAAATCCCAAATAACTGTTTTTACTCCAGTTAGACTCGCACTGTTCTTTCATGTGAGCATGGAGCCATTGCCTACTTGTTTTCTGGTTTCCTCATGGAATTGGTAGCACTAAGTCTGGCATGGAGCGCAGAGCACTAGTCAGCGTGCATTAGCTTGCTCATTAACTCACTCTTCCTGCCCAGTGAATGTAGGACATGCAGGAAGGACTAATCACCGCTCTCTTCTGTTATTGTTTATGTTATATTTCTGAAATTGCTATTGTTCCTTTCCTATTTTGAAGCAGATTTCAGTTTAACAGATACCAAGCCTAGCTGCAGCCTGCACACATTTTTCTTTTCTTTTTTTAAGATTTTACTTATTTATTTTTATAGAGAGGGGGAGGGGAAGGGGGAAGGGAGAGAATCATAGTTGTGAGAGAGAAACAGTGATCAGTTGCCTCTTGTACATTCCCCTACTGAGGACTGAACCTGCAACCTAGATATGTGCCCTGACCAGGAATCAGAGCAGCGACTCTTTGCTTTGCAGAACGACACTCAGCCAACTGAGCCACATAGATCAGGGGGATCCTACACACGCTTTAGAACTATTTATCTGTTTCTGAAATTTTGCTCAGTAATAAAATTAAATTTCTCCATCAGTTGCCTCTATTCTCATCTACTCTACTCCCTATAAGTTCATTCTTTTTAAGATCTTTTAATCTATCTTCAACTTGTTTTTGATTCATCTTTGGGCTACCGAGAACCTAGGTGTTACTTGAAATCTTAAACTTTTTTGTTTAAAGTAATTTTCAGTTGGGTCTTTAACATTAACAAACTATTTATTGGATACTTAATATGTGTAAATCCTGTAAGAGAATCTTTAAAATGACTTCATTTCATCCTGATAACCCCTGTGAGATAGGTAGCATTTTCACCAATTTTCAGATGTAACTAAGAGTCAGATTAGTTAACCTGCCAAAGATCATAAAGCTAGTAAATGGCAGAGGGAAGATTAAAACTCGGGGTGCCTGGCTTAGCCCATCCATGGGCTTTTCATAACACCCCTTGTTACCTGTGTGCATCAGAGCCCTCTGGCTAATGGAGATTGCGTTGGCGTCAGTGTCCAGGGTTTAACATTTTAAACCCTGACTTCTGAGGCCAGACAGAAATATTTTGGGGGGTGGGGGATTGTTCAAGGAATGCATGTTTTCTTTCATATTAAAAAATAATATAATTATTTACCATATACCAGAATAAGTAGAAAATTATATAATCATTTCCATAGATAACTTTAATAACTGACAAAATTCATTCTTTTATGATAAAAACTTATTTCAAAGTAAGGATAGAAGGAAACCTCTTTAAAATGATAAAGAATATCTACAAAAAGATTATATCAAACATATTAACTCTTAGAAGTGAGATATTAAAATTTTTCTGTCTGATGTCAGAAATGAGACAGTAATATTTCTTCCCTCAATTCTGTCAGTTTTTCTTAATGAACTAACTGTGGTCTGTCCTTAGTGGAAACGCATAGAAAGGGAAGCTCACTCAGAGCTCTTCCCCTTTTTCCATGTGTTGACTCACCTCTGGCTTCTGCCTGCTTTTGACAGCTATCCACTGCCTTAAGGTTACTGGTTTAGGTTTTGGTTTTGGTTTTTATTGTTTAAATACATTTGTCTCCATTTTCCCGCCACCACTTTTCCCTGCCCCACCTACCCCACCTCCCATCCTCAATCCTTCCTCACTTTGGTTCTGTCCATGGGTCCTTTATACATGTTCCTTGATTTGACCCTTCCCCTTCTTTTCCCTGTTACCTGCTCCCTCGTCCCCTCTTGTTACTATTGGTTTGTTTTTTCTTTCGATGTTGATGGTTATATTTTTCTTGCCTGTTTGTTTTGTTGATTAGGTTCCACTTACAGGGGAGATCATATGCTATTTGTCTTTTACCCCCTGGTTTATTTTGCTTAGCATGATGCTCTCCAGTTCCATCCATGCTGTCGTGAAGGGTAGGAGCTCTTTCTTTCTGCTGTATAGTATTCCATTGTGTAAATGTACCATAGTTTCCTGATCCACTCATTTATTGATGGACACTTAGGTTGCTTCCAGCACTTGGCTATTGTAAATCATGCTGCTATGAATATTGGGGTGCACAGGTTCTTTTGAATTGGTGTTTCAGGATTCTTAGGGTATAATCCCAGCAGTGGAATTGCTGTGTCAAAAGGCAGTTCCTTTTTTAGCTTTTTGAGGAAATTCCAAACTGTTTTCCACAGTGGCTGCAGCAGTCTTCATTCCCACCAACAGTGCACTAGGGTTTCTTTTTCTCCGCAACCTTACCAGCACTTGTCTGTTGATTTGTTTCTTATAGTCATTCTTACCAGTGTGAAGTCGTATCTCATTGTGGTTTTAATTGGTATCTCTCTGATGGCTAGTGATGCTGAGCATCCTTCAAATGTCTCTGGGCCCTCTGTATCTCCTCCTTGGAGAAGTGTCTGTTCAAGTCTTTTGCCCATTTTTTAATGGGATTGTTTGTCTTCCTGGAGTGGAGTTGTGTGAGTTCTTTATATATTTTGGAGATCAAACCCTTGTCTGAGGTATCATTGGCAAATATATTTTCAGAGGACAGACAGAAATTTAAATGCTAGATCCTTTTACAAAGCAAAATTGGTTTCCAGATTCCTAATAGCCTAAAGAATGATGCAGAGTATTAAATATAATTGTGAAGTTGATTAGATTTGGATTTTTATTCTTTTGCTGTTTCAATTCACTTATCATTATATAATCTAGCTTTAGATTATATAGACATTAGCTGAAATGTCTGCATAAAGTAAAAGTTTTCAACTTTGCCTGCAATCCCAAGAAAAATATTAAATTTTTAAGCAAATTTACCAAGTTCTACTTAACCTGCCAATTTCGAGCTATGTGACCTTGCAAAAGCCAATGTTCTAAGATTTCCCTACTCTAAAATTTTGCTTCCTTTTGTATTAAAATTCTCTCTGGATAATTCATAATAGGGAATTTTTTTTCTTTTCTAATTATTTTAATAAAAATTTTTTTCATGAGTTTTTAAGAGTTTAGAGAAAGTTAAAATAGTTTAGTGGTTCAGAGTTCTGAGTCTGGAGTAATATTTGTATAATCAAAGCTGTGATATTTAATATCTGGTAGACACTGGAAGTTTTACGTAATCTCTAGCTTCAGTTGATGACCTATCTCATAAGGTTGTTATAAAAGTACAGAGAGAGTGGCAAACTAGGTTTACAGTTGTTCATATGGAAAATAATACAATAATTAATAAATAATACAAGAATAAACTGTTTCATATACTCACAACTGTAAACCTACTTCTGCCCCACCCTGTACGTACAGCACATTCTACAGTGCCTTGAACAGTAGTGATTAACTATTACTATTGTTTATTTAGATTTTGCAATTTGTTCTTTGTTTTTGTTAAGATTTTATTTCTTTTTCACTAGAGAGACAGTGAGGGAGGGAGGGAGAAAGAGAGGGAGAGATGACGTGCAAGAGAAACACCAGTTGGTTGCTTCTCACAGACCCCGGCTGCATTCCAGGCATGTGCCCTGTCTGGGACCTGCGACCTTTCAGTCCACAAGATGACGCCCAACCCACTGAGCCACACCAGTCAGGGCTGCAGTTTGTTCCTTGTGAAACATAATCATAGCATTTTAGAGCTAGAAGAAACGCTTACTGATCATTTGATCTAGCACCACTATCTTTCATATGACATGAAAGCCCAGAGGAAAGGTGAAAGCTAGTTTGTGGTTTGGTGGTAAGTTGGTGATGGACCTGAAACTAAATTAAACCCATTATCTTCCAGAGCAGAGAGTTTGTGTTGCTATTACTGTTCTTTTCCCTCTATCCAATGATTCTTTCTTTAATCCCATTGAAACTATTGAGTTGTTTCCATTTTTATATATGCAACTATTTTAGAACCATAAAAGGCTGGCATGAATATTTTTTTTCCTTTGCTTAGCTAGCTTTCTTCACACCCCAAAAGGATCAATTCACAGTATTAGAGATGAAGCTTTAATGTTCAGCAGTGTAAGACTAAACACCTATAGTCGTTTATGGTTTCATATTGTCCTCTTAGTCTTCTGTTAATGTCCCATAGCAGTGGAGCATGTCTCGTGTTCTGAGTGCTAATTAAGTGAAGGTCCTCTGATTCACTTACAAAATGGTTGTGATTTCAGTAAGGATAACAATACTTTTCTCTCTGTTCTCTCTTGTGTTGTAGAGCCGACAATTAGAATCAGAAACAGGGACCACAGAGGAGCACAGTCTAAACAAGGAGGCTCGAAAATGGGCCACACGTGTGGCACGTGAGCACAAAACCATTGTTCACCAACAACGGGTAAGTGTAATAGAGAGTCTTAGGCTACATTTAGCCTAAGCCAAGTGTCTAACCAATTTAAAAAGTTGAGTTTTATTAATGTGAAGAATAGCCTCCATATCCCTAACTTCGGAGCACGTGGCAGTATGCCCTCAGCTCTCTACTTAGCTTGGCAGTTCCTTGGGCTCTCTAGCATCAGCACAGTAATTTATCTGTGTGCCATAGAATTGCCTAAGAAAGGGCAGTGATAGTGTATTACAGTCTCTTAGGCAGTGGCAGAGACACAAATATGTTGAATTTGGCTTTTCATCCCCAAGACAAATTTTTTGAAGGCACAACTGTAGAGTCCATGAAAATGTATCACCAAGACTAAACTAAAAGTGCAAAGAAATTGTTAGGCATAGTACATTTTTTTCTCAGTTTCCATTTATTCATATCTTTATTATTCTTCTTTACTTCACATCTAGTTTCTTAAAAGAACTGTCCATATTTAGTATCTATATTTCCTATCATTCCACTTACCTTTTAGCCCATTGCATTTGGTCTTTTCCTTCTTTCCCTTTCCCTACACCACTTCACAGAGACTATGTTTGCAAAAATCATCTATGATGTCTCTGTTACTAAATCCAAAACGGATGCTTTGATTTCTCGTTTTACTTAACCCATTGACAGCTTCATCACAATTGGCAATGTCTTTCATCTTGAAACATTTTCTTCTCTCGTCACCCATGGCATAACATGGCCCTGGTTTTCCTTCTGCTGCTCTGGCCATTCCTAGATTCTTTTATAGGTTTTTTCTCTCTCACATATTTAAATATTTAAATATCTTAGATTTCTGTACTAGGGTCTCTTCTTATTCTTTATCCTCCTTATAGACAGTCTTGACCCTTTCAATGGTTTCACTTACCAACAAATGATAAATTGATATCTTCAACATTAGGCCTTTCTTCTGGTATCCTTATATCCTCTTGCCCACTTTGACATCTACTTTTCAGTATCTTACAGGCATCTTAAATTCAGTGTTCTGCTTACCTAATGCTGCATAACAAAACACTTTAGCCATGACTGGTGTGGCTCAGTTGGTTGGGCATTGTCCTGTAAACCAAAAGGTCACGGGTTCAATTCCTGGTCAGGGCACATGCCTGGGTTGTGGGTTCAGTCCCCAGTTAGGGTGTGTATAAGAGCCAACTGGTCAATGTTTCTTCCTCACATCGATGTTTCTCTCCTTCTCTTTCTTACTCCCTTCCCCTTCTCTAAAAATAAATAATAATAAAAATAAATTTTAAAATAAAACTCTTTGAACTTAATGCCCCCCAAAAAACATTGCTTATATTGCTTTTTGGGGGCTCAGCTTGGCAGTTCTCATGTGGGGGTCTCTCATTCCAACCAGATAGAGCTGGTGCTGGAGTCATCTCATAGGCTTCCCCACTAAAATATCTGATGTTTGGACCAGGAAGACTTGAAGAGCAGGGAGCTAGAACACCTAGAGCTCCTTGTGCATCTCTCTCTGTTGTCTCCCCATATGAAATCTCCAGCATGGCAGCTTCAGGTTAGCTGTACTTCTTACCTGTCGCCCAGGACCCCAATGGTGTGAGTCCCAAGAATGAGCCAAGTAGGAGCTATATCATCTTTTCTGTGTCATGTTTTTAGCCTCAGAAATAATATTAGTTGGGTCATATTTTTGTTAATTGAGGCAGTTACAAAAACCTGTCCAAGTTGATGGAGAGAACACATAAACTCCACTTCATGGTGGGGAAAAAACAAGGTTCTGGAAGAACATGTGGAATGGGAAATACTGTAATAACTGTTTTTTAAAAACATAAGCTGCCACAGCCTGCCTTCTGGCCATAACAGTTCATATCCCTCTTGGATACAAAATACAACTCTCCTCTTCTCTCAAATCCTCCAAAGCCTGGCATCAGACTCCAGCTTGAAATGCAGAATATCATCACCTAAATCAAATTTAAGGATACATAAGTGGCTCTTGGGTACAGTTTCTCTAATACAATTTATCTCAGTAGAAGAATTTGTGAACTAGAGAGACCTATATGCCCATACACCCAATAAATAGTGATGAGATTAATTACTGCAGCTTTATACTTAGAAATATAAAACACATAAACAGATTTTTTACCACTAGATGCTTGACAATATTTGAAAGTAAATCTTCAGATATTAAAAACAAATCTGCTTCCTCTCTCTGTTGTCAGGGCATTTTGTCTTTCTGTTGGAAGGTAGAGATAGAAAGATTCTAATAGATTTTCAGTTCTTTATGGTATGAACTTTATTACTTTAATCTATTAGATATATTTTAAGTAATAAAATGAAGGTATTTTTTAAACATTAAATCAGTTCTCCTTTGGCCATGATCAGGTAGTTAAAATCACACTTGCTCTCATGCATAAACAACTATAAAATTAGTCTAAATGTATGAAACAAATGTTCAGGCATTGAACAATAAGATAGATACATGCTCTCACATACTGCTAGTAGAAGAGCAAGTATAATCTTTTCTGAGGCAAGCTGAGGGGAGGGACTCTCTGTTCTAGCAGCTTCTTTTGGGTCTATAATTATTTCAGATTTTTTTAAATTAACAAAAATTAAAGGTCAGAAAAGGAATTGTGGCTACTCATCGCTCAAGTCTTTTAAATTATCTAAACACCCCCATCACTTAGGAAAAAGCAGTCATTATTTTCCTGTTTTCTTTAATAGGTTCTAGATGACCTAGAATGTCATGGAGTCGCAGTGTCGGAGCAAAGCCGAGCAGAGCTGGAACAGAAAATGGATGAAGCTAAAGAAAACATTCGTAAAGCAGAGGTGAGGTGGTGCTAATTTGGCATTTTGTCCAGCCCCATTAATGTCTCAGCTGTGATATGTACCTTTAGAATTCAGTTTCTATACACTGATTATTTTGAAGATGATTCACCACCTTCATCTGTTTCAAGAATATTATTTTGAGTACCTGCTTCTTACAAGGTGGTGCAGGCAACAAAAAGGCACTAACCTCTCTAAGAAGAATTTACAATCATGAAACATTGAATAAAAAAAAATTAAGTCACAATGAAGATACTAATTTTAAAGTTAAACAAGGTAATTAATAAATCAGTATAGAAATTGATATATATAAGGTCAGAGCCTAGAAATGCCTCCCCTGTATGGAAGATTCCCCGGAATCATAGATCTAGGAGCATAAGCTGAGCTTTTAAAAGAGAAGACCTGGTTAAGCAGACAAGATAAAAAAAGTTACAATAGTGGACATTAATTTGGGAGGGATTATCATGGGACCTTTTGAGAGTTGTATGAAAGTGTGAAACCCTTTCTCCCTTAAGAAAAAAAAAAACACTTTTATGTATAGTGTCTACAAGTCCACATAGCCTACACTAATATTCCCTGACCTCAAGGGGGAGAAGTTAAGATGGAAAGAAAGAAGTTATTTGAAAAGCAGAAAGACATAAGACATAGTTTGGCAGTTAGATTTGATTAAAGTGGAGGACTTTTATAAGAAAATGTGGTAGACATTAAAAAACTAATTGTGGTTAGGACCAGTTGGTGGAGGACCTGTGTACTCTTGGGTATAGTTATCAACTCAATGCATCATGGAAGGGATATGGAAGGAGACATTTAAAAAAGATTGAGGCTGTCCAGCCCTCAAGGACAATGTGTTCTTGTTAGGGAGGCGTAAAGAATGCCAAAGATAACTAAGACTGTAAAGCCAAAGTGCCAGGGAGTGGTCCACAGAAACATACTTAACACTTAAGAAACCCAGAAGAGCCTTGGCCGGGTATTTCAGTTGGTTAGAACATTGTCCAGGTACATCAAGGTTGTGGGTACAATCCCCTGTCAGGGCACATACAGGAATCAACCAATGAATGCATAGGTAAGTGGAACAGCAAATCAATGTCTGTCTGTCTGTCTGTCTGTCTCTCTTCCCCCACCCCACCCCTGCCCTCTCCTCTCTTCATCTCTCTCTCTGAAATCAATAAAAATAAAAAATAAACTTAAAACAAGAAGAAGAAACCCAGAGGAAACACATCAGTGTGGGAGGCATTGTTAGGGCAGGTGACACAGAAGTAGGACGTAAGATGAGTATTGACTGGTCAGTAGTATTTGATTGGTCAAAGGAAAAGGGATAGCGCAGGTTTATGCCATGCAACCTTGAGAGGCAGAAGTTGAATTAAAATAAGAAGGTAGGAAAGAGGCAAATCTGAACTGGGTACTGGGAAATACCTTCTAACAGCTGTATCTTCCCAATGATGAGATAAGCTCCCCTGGCGCATAGCACAGCTTTACAATTCTGGGCAAACATCTCAGACTCTATACCAGGAATTCTTGCGTTGTTTGATATTCACATACCGCCTTAGGACTCTAGAGGTTGAGGACATTGTTTCAGTGGTGCGGCGGGGGTAGGGGATTGCAGTAGAGAAGTAGCACAGGCAAACACAGAAAATATGAGCATGTTTTTGGCACAGCCTCATGGAAGTGATCTGAACCAGACACAGCTTGCCATCTACCTACTCTAGAGAAGCCCCAGTAACCACAGCTCGCCTTTTTTCCTGGTAAATGATCTACAGCCTCCATAGTGAAGAGGGCAGTGTGTACAATAAATAGACTTTTTCCTCTCTGAATTCAGTGTCAGGGCTAAACCACTACCGTAGTGTGCGGGCCAGGTACTATTGGCAAGTCCTTTCCCAGTTTGAGAAACACTGGCTTGTGTAAAGAGCTTTTCTTGTTTGTTTCTTCAAACTCTGGGTAGAGCCAGTTTCAGAGCCTTGGTAGTACAGGACAAGTCTCAAAAGTTTTCTTAAGGGTGTGTTCTGTCTTGCATTTTCCATTTCCAGACTCCATCCATGTTGTCACCGTCTGCTACCCCAGCTCCACCAGACCCCCCAGTTGTGCGGTAGTAGGCACCAGTCACACAAAGTCTGCATTTAGCCTCACTGACCTGTTATTTCCATGGACTTGCTAAACTGCCCTCTGTTTGTTAGCCTAAAGGTAAAAATATGAAGTGAGATGTCCACAACAGAATGTCTCCTCCCTCCCAGCGTCAGTATTTAAGTCTCTGTTCTCAGAAATAATTTTCGTACCAAAATATGGAAAATGCTAAAAACCATAATGCCAGATCCATAATTTCAGCTTTGAATATCTGTAAAATGTAGTTAATCCTGCTGTCTTAAAGTTCTCCCTCGCTTGATTTCCACTTATCAGATGCAGAGTAACCCAGCTGAAATTAGATGGCAAATATGAGGGTAATTTTGGGTTAATGCTTAGAAAGTTGTCCTAATGAAATTTTTGGATAGACTGCACCACAAGAGCCTTCAGAGGAATTGATAATAATGGTTTTATTGGATTCCTTTCTTTCTTCTGCCTATATATTTGCATTGGATTTCCTCTTTTCATTCAATAGTTATTTATTCATTATAAACACCTATACAAAAGCGAGAGAGCTGGTTAAAACTCGATTATATCATCCATGTTTGATTTTTAACTCCTACTAATATGAATGTTATCCTTCCTTTTTGGTTAATCTACTTTATCCAGTGTTTTCTATATTATGTTTCCATTCAGTGTTGCTAATTAGAATAAAAACCTTTTTGGTGTTGAGTAACAGATTAAAGAAGCTTTTTCCAGTCCTAAGAAATTGAAAATATAAATGACATGTGCTTTTCCAAAGAATAGGAGTTATATAGTGATTAATTAATTACTGGCTGGTTAATTTGGGAACAAATCCACTAGTTGATTAGTTTAACAAATACTTAATGAGTACCTGCTCTATGCCGGATACTGATGAATATTTTTGACATACAGTGATGAACAAACTATTGTTATTGTTATGATCTCTCTGATGGTCACAAGAATATTTGTACAAGATATGCTCCTGTTTGTAGCCCCCTAATTCAAGAATTGAAATGAGGCAATAGCTTCTTAAACTTTAATAACAATTTTTCTAATCTAGTATTTAGGTATTTGAATTTTTGAAATTCATTTGTCACACAGATACACATATGTTCTTCATCTGACATATCATACCTATTCTAAAAGTAGCTTGCCAAGAAGTCAAGAGTTTTGAAAGCCATTTTTTTGGAAGCTGTACATACTTATGTTGTTCCAGAACTCAATTATTTTTATGTTTAAATTGTACCTTTTATTTGGCTTGAGGGCAGTTCTTTCTTCTTATGATAGTTAAATGTTTAACACAAAGAGGAGATAGTTAACGTAAGAGGTTACTCAGAAATTTTTAATAATTCACGTTTGGTGTAAGTTTTGCAGGAGGAACTATAGACTATTAATTTCCTTAAAATTAACTATATTCTATAACCTGAATTGCACATACATTTGAAAGCCGTAGTATGTGGTATCAAGTGAATTAACAAAAAAAATCAATTATTGTCTATATAAACACATTTTCATAGATAACCATTTTCCCTTAAATTATCATAAGGTCCTGCCGTACACTAGAAATCCAGAATCACCAAGTCGTCATTGAGGCCTGCGCAGGTCCCAGCCTGTCTGTGGTTTGGGGTTGCTATCTGCCTCATAAAGCAAAGCAGAGGCTTTGTCTGCTGAGAAGACAGAGTCGTCTTCTCCTCTGAAAAGCCTCCTACATAGTTGGCTTTGACATCCTCCAGGAATAGGAGGGTGGGGCTTGAGACTTTGTGAGTCCTGGTTTTCAGATGAGGTACAGAAAGGACAGCAGTTACAACCAGAAAGTCTAGAGTCGGGTGTAGTTACCTCCAGAACACGGCACTGTTTGCCCAGCCAGAGCTTCATGACAGTCATAAAAATAGATTCTTTAATAATGAAATATTAATAACACAGTGTCCCTCCCCCTAAAAAAATTGCTATGTCATCCTTATATCTCAATAACTCAAAATGGCAAGACCCTTGTCTGTAATACTGTGAGAAGTCTAAAAATGTTCATTGCATAACATGTGAGGTTTCATTACAACAAAGTTAATGAAATGCTAAGGGAGAACCTACTATTAAAACAAAATTTCCAACCAGATTATATCCAAATTTACCTCAGGGACTGTTTTTTATGGGATTTCACTGTACTCTTGTAATATAGTATGTTAGCAAACCTCTTGACTAATCAATTTCTTTAGTTTTAATGTGAAAATTTTCAAACATACAAAAAGGTGAAGAGTAAATATATATTTCCCAACATGATAAATTCAACTATTATTATTTTGCAATATTGGCTTTATGTATTTATTTTTATTCTGTAACATGCAAGTTAATTCTGTAATTCTCTGTAATTGACATTAATTCTATTCTGTAAATGGCCTGATTAGAATCAGTGTTTTAGACAAGAATACTTTATAGAAATGCTATGTCGTTTATCATCGTATGTTTTTCTCAAGTTGTCTTACTACTAATGATGCTAAGAGTGGTTACTTAATTAAGGTGGTGCCACCAGATCTTTCCACTATTAAGGTCCTTTTTTTTCTCCCATTGTAATTGGCCAGTACTAGGCACCTCCAGTGGTGGCAAATGGATGTTGTTTCTCTCAAGTATCATTATGGGATTTTAAAAATCAACTCTATTGAGGTATAGTATACATATAAAAATGTAACCATTTCAAGTAAACAGTTTGATGAGCTTTGACAAATACATACCCCTAAATATCCACCATCACAATCAAGATATGAAAAATTTATATTACCCCAAAAAGTTCTCTTCTAACCAGGCCACAACTGATCTGCCTTCTCACACATAGGTTAATTCAACTCCAGCAACATGAATATTAGATTATTTGATACTGTTCTAGACATCACACACAAAGACGATGCACACGTTGTTTCTCTAATCTTATTTTT